AAAAAAAAAAAAAAAAAAAAGAAGAAGAAATATGAAAACAATCCATGAAGATAGCTTGGGGTATTTCTGCATATGAACTGTGTTGTTATTTAGCAAATGAATAGGTTTGTACTGCAAAAAGGTTCTGTTTGAGTCACTTTTCACCTTGGGGAAAGTAGAGTAGGAAAGGCACATCATTCGCTCATTCACTCTTGATCCGTTCAATGAACATTTTTTAAAAGAAAATGAAAGCCACCAGTTTACAATCTATGACCCAAAGGAAGCCTGAGACCTTTGGATCTACACCAGAAGTTAATTTTAGTTAGTTATCTGACATAATTTCCTTTCTAGGTTTCCTGAAAGTTCGGGTGAGGGAGTACTTAGCGAGTTTGGAGTTATCATCTTTGAATAGGACATTGGGGGCTTGGGCATTTTTGAGAGGTTTTATCTCACAAGAGATACAGGGACCTCCACTGTGGCCCCTGAGAACCGGCATTCACCTGACCACGAGGCTGCCTATGTGAGGACAAAGAGGTCTCTGGAAGGACGTGTTGGAATGAGGACTCTCCCCATATGAGGGGCCAGTGGGCAAAACCACAACCTCCTTAGATTCAGATTTATAGAAAACAGAAGGGACAGAACATAACCTGTGAATGTTCTTGTTTCAGGTGAGGCAACTGTGAAAAAGAAACCCACCCCCAAGACATCTCCGAAGGCAGGTAATTAGTCACAGCCCTGTCGTGGCCATGGGGCTTTCCTTTTTCTGCAGAGTCTGCGCAACTATGTGGTCAGTGGACCCTTCCCCGCTTCCGGCTCTGCGTGAGTCAGACCACATTTGCTCCTCTAGCAAGCATATCTCCCTTGTCCCCTCCTGTGTTCCTCTGCCCTGCCTGTGTGTATAGTGCCCCACAGTCCTGGCAGCTTTGGAAGTTCCCTCCTGGAAATCCCACCCCACCGTCGGTCCCTGGTGTAGTCAACCCATTTGTGGGCTCTTGTCCCTTGCTCTGTGTGCCCCCCTTCCATGAAACCCTTGTCTGTTTTCCATGGAAAGACATTTAAAAGTGAAAACCACATTGAGCCTATCAGCCAAGGTGGCCCCGTAGGCAGATTACCAAATGAGGTAGGATATAGATTCAAACAACTAGGGTGAGACCCCAACTCCGACACAACCAAGAGATGGAGAGTTGTGCCACACAAAGTATGTGGGTCATTTCTAAGGGGCCCTGAATAAAACTGAACAAGCCCAGCAGGTCCCCGAGGTCAGATATTCCAGACAATGGGCAATGCCCTCAGGCTTATCCTGAATTTATCCTGAAGGCAGGAGAACACCTGGGCTCCTCCGATGCGCTCACTTGCTACCTGTCCTCTCTCAGCTATGCCCCCTCAGATCATCCAGTTCCCCGAGGACCGGAAGGTGCGAGCAGGAGAGCCTGTGGAGCTGTTTGGGAAAGTGGCCGGCACTCAGCCCATCACCTGCTCCTGGATGAAGTTCCGAAAGCAGGTCAGTCACGGGGGAGTCAAGGAAAACCCTCAGCACCCCAGGCCCAAAGGAGTAAGAACTGCTGCAGCGATAGGAACAGCGTCACTCTTCGTTGAGTTAGAAACGGAGAAACCCCCACCCACCAAAACTCAGTTCATACTAATGTTTCTTCCAGCCTACTAATAAGCCAGGCAGGATAGATAGTTTCTGTAATAAAGCTACATGTGGCCCCACCTCATTGTGATCTCTACCTAGAATCCTATTCAGGGTCAAGAAAATCAAACAAAGATCTCAGATGACCTCCCAGACACCATAAGATTTCTGGCATTCTCTGCCAGCCCACTGATTATTGTCTGTGATAATAACTTAAACTTACCACATGCTGAAGGGATCAAAGTTGATCTGATTATTTGGACAGGTAAATTATATGTTAAATAGAATTTTGGCTGACTGAAATCTAGCTACAGTTTATAGTAATGGTTCTTCTGAGAAAGTGTTGAAATTTCCAAACCAGCTTTTAGAGGAACCTGAGGGACCTAACCATCCCACCAATCTCCTGTTGGTAGCTTGTGGCCAATCAGCAGGGACCCTGGAATGGTGGGTGGGCCCCGGATCAGGAACCCTTCAGGAGGGTGGATTTATTCTGAACCCTCTGTCACTTTGGTTCCATGCCATTCACACTGCCTCAACTCAGGGATGAGCTGCAGACATGAGGAAAGAAAGTAGATGGAGAAGAGAAGGCGGCCTTTTTGCCCTGTGGTATTGCCTGAACTAAGACGGCATCTCAGACCATTTCAGAGACATCCAGCCTATTCCCAGCTTGCCCCTCTGAACGTCTGTCGTGGTGGATGTGCTCACTCACGTCTGTGCTGAACATTAGAGTGGCCACTCTCCCTGGGCAGCCATGGAGCACGTGAAATGTGGCTGGAGCTAGGAACTGGTTTTCATTTTAATTGATTACAAGTTCGCAACAGTTTTGTTGAGATATAATTTACATACTATAAAATTCACACACACCTCCTTTTCTGGCAGTACTAGGAATTGAATCCAGGGCCTTGTGCATGCTAGGCACGAACTGCGTCACTGAACTACATCCCAGGTCAAAATTCACCCTTTTAAAATGTACGATTCAGTCGTCTTAGAACAGTCACCGAGTTATACAAGCACTGTCATTATCTAACTCCTCATCCCAGAACGAAACCCCAGGCCTGTTAGTAGTCACGTCTCCCTTTCAGCCTCTGACCTTCACCTACTCTGGACATTTCACACAAACGGAATCATCTATCGTCTTCTGTGTCTGGAGTTTTGGAGTTGTTTGGGGGTGGGGGGTGGGGAGTGTTCCCTCCCCACCCCAGTGCTGTGGATTGAACCCAGGGAGTGTTGAGTTACATCTACAGAACCTTCTACTTTTCATTTTGAGACAGAGTGTCACTAAACTGCCCAGGCTGAGCTTGCATTTCCAACCCTCAGCCTCCCAAGTAGCTAGGAATACAGGTATGTGCCATCACACCTGGCCGGCTGTTTCATTGTTGTTGTTTTGATTTGAGGTTTTTTTGATACAGGGTCTCACTTTATAGTCTAGGCTGACCCTGAACTTTCTATCTATCCTAGGCTGGCCTCCAACTTGGAATTCTGTCTCAGCCTCCCAAATATCTGGAATGATAAGAACATGCTGGGTTTTTTGTTTTTAATTTAGTATGATGATACCGGGCTCCTCTACGTTGTAGCATGAATCAGTACTCCATTCTTTTTCATAGATGCTTAATACTCCATTGTCTAGATGTATCACATTTTGTTTATCTCTTCATCAGGTGAACATTTCAATTTCTACTTAATTAAAATCTAAGTAGCCACATTTGGCCCATGGTCATTGCACTGGACACTATACACAAGAGTAGAGCCCACTGCAGGTGAGCTTTACAAATGTCTTGGTCCAGATGCCTTCTCCTATCATCACCCAGAGCAGTGACAGGAGGCAGAGCCGCTGCTGAACTGTGTTCTGGGGGCAGTGAGTGCTGAGCTAGACTCCCAGCCCACCCTAGCTCTGCACACCCTGAGGGGAGTGGGCTGGTAGAGCTCCTGTACCTGGTCCATCTGTGTCCCTGGAGTGGGAAGAAGGGAGGATCCCCTTCCTCCCTGGCCAAGTCTTCAGCATGCGCCCTGCCTCTGCCCACAGATCCAGGACAGTGAGCACATCAAGGTGGAGAACAGTGAGGCGGGCAGCAAGCTCACAATCCTGGCCGCACGCCAGGAGCACTGCGGCTGCTACACACTGCTGGTGGAGAACAAGCTGGGCAGCAGGCAGGCCCAGGTCAACCTCACTGTCGTGGGTGAGTCTGGTGTGGAGGTCAGGGTGGGAGGGCAGCGAGAGCCCCAAGCAGGATGCTCGGACTGCAGGACTTCATCACCTTCAGCCTTTTCTTCCTGCCTACACCCTCTTCTCCCAGCCCCTGCTCCCCAACTCTCACACTAGACCTGTCCTTCAAGCTTCTGCAGACTCCAGACCCTGCCGCGGTCCTGACCCTCTTCCTGTCAGCTCTCTCCTGATTTTCTGCATTTCAGCCATCAGAGCCCCTGGACCGCTCCACTCCAGCCTCTCCTGGCACTTCAGCCTCCACTCCCTTGTGTACACTACTGCCCAATCCCTTTGCCAACTTTCTCCTGACTCGATGCCACCTCTGACTTTGCTCTTCCTGTTCCTCATTTGGGGCCACCACAGAAAGAAGATTACATCCACCCATAAACAAAACTCATTCTTCTGACCTCCAGGCCCAGCTGAGTGGTCAGTGCTACGCGGAAATCCTTGTCCTGGTCTCTGATCAGTGGTGTCCCTCTGTGCAGTGATGTACCAGGCGGCCTTGGCCTCTAGCTTCTCTGAGGGACACAGGGCATCAGGCATGAATCTGCTCAGTGTCATGGCCCCCATGCCTTAGATGTCTATACCTGTCCTGTCACTACTCCTCATCCCAGCTTGTGGACGTTGTCTCGCCCTAGGCGTCTCCTTTCCTGTGCTCTGGGCTCCACCATGCCCCCTTTTCTCATATCTTCCTCTCTGCTGGCTCCTCCCAGCAGCCCCAAAATGTTGCCACGTCAGCAGATGCCCAGGCATGTGTAAGCTTTGCGATGCTTTGTCTCACTGTTCGTGCATATGTGCTCTGTCTCTTCTCTTTGGCAGGGGAGTGTCTGCTCCACTTCTGCTTCTGAACCCTGTGGTACTCTTCAGCTCATGGCACCTCAGCCACGTATCCCATTAGTATGCAGGAACTGCTCCCCTGACCCTAACTCCACTCCCTTTTCCTGTCTTCAGCATCCCAGTAATGACTTAAGGCCAGCTCCAGTCTGACTTTTAAATGCTCTTTGTCCCCTCTTTTCTAACCACTCTTTTCATGCCCTGGTCAGTCCCATCTGTCATGATTCCCCACATGGCAGGAGCTCTGGGCAACAGAGGGACAAAGGGAGGCCAGGTGGAGAGGAAGCCATGTCTTATACCTGTGTGGGCTTTGTACACGGAGAACATGAGAGACTTTGACCTGGTGTGCATTGACACACGCGTGAGATATGAGTGGGTTTTCCATTTGTTCTTGGCTTTCTGTAGGATCTCTCTGTGCAATTTAGAAGAGTACTTCCCCAAACTCACAACAGGCTCACAGCTGGTCTTGGGAGGCAGCAGTTGGCCTGATCCGCTCCATTGGGACCCCTATTCTGTGCACAAAAACTGCAATTGTGTGATGGCTTTGACATTGCCTCCCTGTGCCTGAGGCTTTCCCATGCATATTCCTGGGGAACATACAGGTGGGGACACAGAACAAAAGGGCCTGCTGGAACCAGACCTGGGTAACAATGGTTAGGATTCTTTCCCTCGAATCTCTGTGGCTGTACCTAAGCGTGAGGTTGGAGGGTGAAGAAGGCAACTCTGGAGGCTTCTTGTGGCTCTGTCATTCTGTGGTTGCTTGGGTCTGATCTCACTTCTCCTCCTTTGCCCTCACCTCATTCCCTCACTCGGGACTAGGACAGACAGAACTGTGCCTCTGGTCTTATAAGGGGGAACTGAAGCAGTTGATAAGCAGTCATGGTGCATCAAGGGCTGAGTGGGAGTTAGCTGTCAAACAACCTGTCTGCAGACAACGCTCATAGCCATGTGAGCCAGAATGTCCCCAGAAGGCAAGGAGACCTCTGGCTAGAAACTTGATCTTGAGGGTGACATGCAGATCTTTGGAGGAGCTGTCCCCATGCAGGGAGTTGTTGGCATCGAGTTCCCCATTGTTTTCTCACACTGAGCCTGGGGAACCTCTGCAGCATCTCGCTCTGGCTCTAAGCAGATGGAAAAGAGGGTGTCCTTAGCCACTGGGGACCTCCTACTCATTCTTTCTGTCTTTGGTGATTCCAGGCGGTTTTTCCATGACTTCCCTCCCTCTGGGAGTCAGGAGCCTTTGAGGATGGGTGCTAGTGATCTGGCTTACTGTATATTTAGACCACACTGAAAGTATTTTTCGGCCCCACACCCTTTCCTATCAGCAGGCAGTGATTCCCACTTTTCCTTGGTGTTCCTCATCTGCCCCTGCTTGAGTAACTTTGAGCTCAGGACGGGAACCAGTACCTTCTGCCCCTACCCAGGCCACCCCCGGACAGTGCCACACATTCCCCACTCCCTTCCCCACAGCTCGGCTGCAGTTCTGGCCTTTTATGGTTGAGTTTCTTATTCTCCACGGCCAGTGCTGACAGGGCCATTGGCGTGGCTACCCGCCAGCTGGCAGGAGCGGCATGTTAAATGCCGTCCTGGGAGGGGAATGGAATGGAGATCTGGGCTTTCTGTCTGACTCCCCCTCTTGGTGCTAAGAATAGAATTGTTCAATAAAATGAAGACTCACATTGATGGTTGCAGCAAAGCCGTATTCATTCAGAGTCTGTGAACTTAGAGTTAGTCCAGAGTAAACCCTGTTTAAGCTGATTTACCTGCGTGTCTCCAGGGACATCTGTGTATTATCCAACCAGGGTTCACTAAGTAGACGTAAGAAATGCATGAGATAAAACAGGAATTGTTCAGCCTGCTTCAGACAGTCTTCAAGTGTTTTAGAAGCACCCATTTACAGGCCAACTAAATAAGGCTACTTTGTGCAACTTCTGCTTATTAGCAGTAAACTTTTCTCATGGCATGTTCTTAGAAGAACTACTTTCTTTTCAGATAATCTGTGATTCCTATTTTTAAAACAATGATTATAAACTAGCCTTCCCCTCAGTTTAAATGAGTGGTGCTGAGCTATTTCAGAGGCCTATTATCATTGTGCTGTAAGAAGCAGCACAGGAATTTTCAGGGCTTAGTGTCTTCCTGCGCCTGCTTCCCTGGTCTGCCTGCTAGGGAGAAGGGAGCCAGCAGCAGATCCAATGGATTCCTTAATGCCACTCACTCAGCATGAGAAAAACAGGTCTCTGCATAGCATTAAAGAAGAAAAATAGAGTAGAGAGCACCCCAAATATCCAATAATCTTCAAATATGATCTGCGTTTGGAACTTGCATGATTTGTAAGAGCAGATTTTCCTTCCTAATGTTTGGCTCTGCTTAAGCAAGACATTTTCTTGATCTCCTTTCTGCCTGATGGTTACGAAGTACCAGGCCTGGGTCTGTAGACTTTATGGAATCTCCTTTGGGCTCTGACACAGACTAGCTGGGTTTTCTTAGTGAGCAAAGTGCTTAGCCTGCGTGGGTCCTGTTCTGAGGATACAGAAGATGCAGGTATCACCACCCACTGCAGAGCCCACCAACAGCTGCAGAATTCAGTAGGGATATCAGGTGGGGCTGGACGCAGCTGCAGATTCATTTCCATTGCACATGCGCAAAGAGGGCGAGGGCACTACTCTAGTGGGCATTTTCCCAGGACTAAGAACACTGGCTGAACAAAAAATCCTGGAGGTGGTGTCATGTGGAACCCTGCTCTTAGAGGGGATCCCATTCTGTCAGTGATGTCTCCAGAGAGCCCTAGGAGAATTCTGAGGAAGTGTAGGGCTCAGCCCTGGACATAGAGCCCTTGCCCCACACTACCAGAGTGTCCTTTCTTGGCAGAGCATGTTGACTTATCTTAGAGGGTCATGGGACTCTCTCATCTGTCCCGACAATCCTTGGCCCTGGCCAGCCATCTCTGTGTGGCTCTGTAAATTAAGGGAACAGAAAGCATGCAGTCCCAAACATGGCTCTAAGGGAGGAAAGGGCTTCCAGTCTCCTGTACTTCAGTCTTAGATCTTTTCAGAACTCCTTCACTGGGCACCAAATTTCTTGAATGTAATAACATTTTACTTGGAATTAAGGTTCCCTCCCCACACTTCCCATTTTTTTTATTGTGCTATAGGAGATGAACTGTGTCATAAGCAAGTTAGAGACACCTGTAACAGGGCAAGCACAAATAGTATATTTTCCATAAAACTCTTCTCCAAGTTGTCTTTTTTACCAAAGCAGAGAAGAGAAAATCAGCCAATGGACTGTATCTGCACTAGTCTCAGCCTCCGTGACCCCAATCATGTCCGGTCACGTGTCTTCCATGGGGTCTTCAGGGTGTGGGGAGAAGTGAGTGTCTTTCATCTCTCTTTAGTTTTTTTTGTTGTTGTTGTTCCTTTAGCTGGTCTGGAAAGGACTTGAATCATTTGCCTCTAAGAGAGTTCTGAGTAACAAACATCTTAGCCATCACTAGAAATGTTTCTAAAGAGACCAATACATCTTTCAGAACAAACAATTTTTCTAAGAGAACACTTTAAACAACCAGTGAAAGTGGTTTCATCACAGGAGGCCTCCAGCATGACTGCCACACTGGAAATGGTTCTGACATAGTCCCAAAATCATCCCCAGGGCAGATTCAGGCCTGGACTGTGGGACAGATGGATTCCAGGTGTGCGTTCTGAGCTGGGCTGTAGATGTAGCAGGGCTGGGGGAGGTGTGGGAATGAATATGTAGGTGTACTAGATGTGAACTGGCGTAGGCCCATCCTTACATACATGCACACATGCACACAGATTTCTCTCCCTTCCACATGGAAGGAATCCCCTTTGGGCTTCCTGCTTCACTGGCAGTGGGAGAAGAGGAGTTAAGTACTTTACCCCTCTGTGTTTGCTTGCCTGCTTAACACTTGCAAAAACACTAAGAGTTAGGTACATATTAGCACCATTTTCACAATGAGAAAGACAAAAGAACAAATTGGTCTCAAGTCCACTAGAATTCACACATTTATAAGTCCACATTTTTTTTTTTTTTTTTTTTTTTTTTTTTGGTACCAGGCATCGAACTCGGGCCCTTGCACTTGTGAGGCAGGTTGTTGGAACCACTGAGCCAAATCCCCGGCCCCCACATAGCATGATTTTAATGCAAGTCTGTAAGGCTCCACGGACTCATACTGTATTGTGGGTGATAAAGGATTGACTGTGGTTATCTGTAACTATCCAAAGAAACTAATTCTAAAAAAAATAGGAGCTTTGTTCAGATAAGCAACTAACAAAAAACAGCAAACTCAAGAGCCTCATTAAAGTGGTGACTACCATGATTTTACCAGAAATTGACAGCACGCTGATTCTGAGCCTGCCCCATCTGCCTGGGGAGGAAGCCAGCCAAAAGGTGACTTCTAGTTTCTGTGCTCAGCTCATTTTCTATCCCTTAGCCAGGGGGGTCGTGACTTCTTATTGTGGTTTATTTTTGAAATTCCACCTTATACCAGTCCAGTGAGGATAAAAGAGGTAGGATAGGGCTGGAGGTGCAGCTCAGTCCCCAGCACCAAAAATCAGAACAACAACCAAGAGGGAAGGTAGAAGTAAATGTTTGGTTTCCCTAAAGTCAGAAATAAACTCCTAAAATATGATAGTAATTATAGTCAAGTCAGGCACTTTCTAAGAGCATTTCATAGCAACCTTGTAACCCAAGGGCTACTTATTATCCACACTGCCCAAACAAGGAGACTGAGGCACAGAGCAGTTAACAGCCACTGAGTAGGCACAGATCTGTGTATCTGTCTTTAGAGCTTGACGGCTGTGCTCTCCACCCCTTGATAGGGCAAATATTTCCCAATTTCCAGATACCCTGGTTGTGTCATAGGTCACTGGAGCTGTGGGCCTGAAGGACACACACGCACACACTCTAAAGTCTTTCTCTTGAAACATATTTTCATGGGAAATAGTCCATACCTCCTGAGCAGCCTCTTAGATCTGTTTACTCTGAAAAATATGTTTATGAGTTGGGCAAAGTACAGGAAATCACGACTTGTGAACTGGAAAACTGGCCAAAGAAAGTCTCTTCTGAGCAAGTAGGTATGTGTGGGATTTTCTGCGCTGGGAGGTTTGTGCAACAGTACCAGCAATGTGTGGGTGAGGGGTGAGAGCTGGAAATAGGGATCTTCGCTTGGATTGGAGAGGCGGTTTCTCCCCACAACACGGCTAATCTAAGAGCATTCTTGGGCTGAGATGTAGCTCAATAGGAAAGCACTGCCGAGTAACAGTGAGGCCTAAGGCCCAACCCCAACATTAAAGGGGAATAAAGAATATCGTTTCCCTACAGTTCAGGGCATTTGAGTGATGTTTATATTTCTCTGTTCCCAGACAAGCCAGACCCTCCAGCTGGCACACCTTGCGCCTCTGATATCAGGACCTCCTCACTGACCCTGTCCTGGTACGGTTCTTCCTATGATGGTGGCAGCGCCGTGCAGTCCTACAGTGTTGAGATCTGGGACTCAGTGGACAAGATGTGGAAGGAACTAGCCACGTGCCGCAGCACCTCTTTTAACATCCAGGACCTGCTGCCTGACCGAGAGTATAAATTCCGTGTTCGAGCGATCAACGTCTACGGCACAAGTGAGCCAAGCCAGGAGTCTGAGCTCACCTCAGTGGGAGAGAAACCCGAGGGTAAGCAGCCCCACATTTCCACCCGTGTGAGATGCATGAGCGTGAATGGGCCTGTTTGTGTAGAGGTCAAACCAAGAGGGTTGCTGAGGAACTAGGAAGGCATCAGTGGTGCCTGGAGAGACCTTTGGTGCCCTTGATTTCTAAGGTTCTGATGCTGATTTGTACTTTTTAAAAAGTGCATAGGACTTTCAAAAAACACTGAACCAGTGGACTGAAGGTGGAGCTCAGTGGTAGAATACTTGCCTAGCATGCATGAGGCCCTGAGCACCATCCGCAGCACCACAAAACAAATTCAAACATAAAACTGAGCTAGCGATTTTGGTACACTCCCACTATGGGGCAATGGTATGTTAATCAAGAGAACAGTTCTAGAAAGGAAGAGCTTGGGTAGACAGCAGGTTGACTCCTCGCATCATCCCTCCTCCTCTTGCATTCACATTTGAGTGTCTGATCAGTGTCAGAACTTGGGAGACAGAGAATAAAACATGGAGCTTACATCTGGGAGACAGATGTGCACACACTATCATGAGATGGAGTGCATCTTACTATAGTGTCACAGAGTGAAGTGACATGGGAGAAATTTGTCATGGAATCTGGGAGGCTTCCCAGAGGAAGCGGCATATAACCAGTGCTGTAGAAAGGGGCTGGGTTCTGAGAGATGGGGGAGTGAAGGAAAGGCCTTCCCTGTAGAGGAGATCAGCATGAGGAAGAGCAGGAAGTGATGGCAAGGGGTCACACTTTGAGAAACATGTGTAACACAGTCATTTGTTATTTGAGACAGTACAGGAGGAAGTGAGACAAAACCAGCAGTTCAGGTCAAGTTGTGAAGTTCACTAAAGACTTTTCAGGCAGGGGACTGAGAAGAGTAGATCTGTCTTTTAGAAAGGATACTAGGTAACTCATGGAGCTTTGCTATTCAAAACTGTGCTGTGGACAGCAGCCCTGGTGTCCTGGGAGCTTGTTTGTAGACTCTCAGCCCCAGGTCTTCAAAACCTTCATTTGGCATGATCTGCCCCTGAGAAGATTTATATCCACGTGAAGGCTTGAGAAGCCCTGGAGTGGAGGATGGGACAGAGAGCTGAGATAGAAGTCAGCCCAGTACCAAAGGATCCTCTGTGTCCAAGAGAGGGAAGAGAAGGGCATGAACTAAACTCCCAGGATGTAGGATGGAGGATGGATCATTCTTGATGACTTTTAGAATAGAGCACTGACTGAGAAAATTGAAAGAGTCTAAGATAACTCCCAGTCACTTATTGGGTAACCAAACACAAACTCAAAAGCCAGTTAGAGGGTTTTTGGTTTTCGATTTGGTTTGGTTGTTTGGTTTGGTTAGGTTTGGTTTGATTCAGTTCAGTTCGATTCGGTTTCTGAGGTGCTGGAGATTGAACCCAAGGCCTCTGCAGTAAGCTTTCCTATTTTCTATTATGAGACAGGGTCTCACTAAGTCACCAAATTGTCCAGGCTGGACTCAAACGTGGCAATTCTCTTGTCTGAGCCTCCCAGAGCGCTGGGATTACCTGCATGTGCCACAGCATCCAGCTCAGTTAGAGGCTCAGTAAGAGTCACTGTGGCTAATGTACACTGGGTAACTGCTGCGTGCTACTGATAGGTCACTCACTTTATACACACCCTCGTATTCAGTGTAATAACCCTGTGAGATAGAGACTGTTAGGACCCCCGTCTTCCAGATGGAGGAAGTGAGGTTTAGAGGCCTGCAGCTACTTGTCTGGGGTCACAGTGTATAGAGTGAGCAGGAGCTTGACTCAGAGCAGTCTGGCATGAAGCCTGTGATCTTTGGTCAGCCTGCGGGAAGAGTCAGTCAGGCTGCCTCCTGGTTCCTGACTTGAGTGACTTGATGGTTACCTGAACAGGGATCTGAGAGAAGACGGGGCTTTGACTTTAGAACAGTTGAGTTGAGGTGGCTGAGGGACATTTAAGGGAAAATATCTCCAGACTGTTGAGTCCAGTGCTCAGGAGGAGAGTTTGAGCTAGTGCTGCAGTTTGGGAGTCTTCCCTGATTGTTAGTGGAAGCCATAGATATCAGTAAGGTCTCTAGAAGGTGGCACAGAAAGCCAATGCCAGTACCATCAGCAGGAGCTCCTGGGACCTGAAAAAAGGACCACTGGGGGCTGGTGACCACTGTAGAAGTCAGAGGGAACAAGTGGCAAGGAAGGCTTGGTGAACTGCAGCAAGGGCTAGAGGTGCAGAGATGAGGATGCAGAAGGATCTTTGGACTTAGCCCTTGGGTTGGTAATGATCTCTGAGATCAAAGTTCCTAGAGTTTCCACGGGGTAGAAACATGGTTGCCTTGGTTAAGGAATAAACGGGAAAAAAAGAGGGCAGGAATGTACGGTATTATCACAAGGAGTTTCATGTAAAGAACAGGAAAAAAAAAAGCTGAGAATTGAAGGTAGAGAAAGGGTTGGGGACCAGGAACCAGCGCTCTTGGAGGGAGAGAGCTTAAGGCTAGGGAGGGTGATTGCAGAAGACTGAGGGTATCAAAGGAGGTGGGGAGGGAGCCATCCTGGAATGACCAACTAGAAGCATCATGAGTGTGGAACTTCCAACTCAGTAACCTCTTGAGTTTTAAAAACTAGATATAAAACAGTTATGAAAAACTTTAACTTTTTTTTGTTTTGAGGCACTAGTGGTAGAACCTAAGGCCTCATACATGCTAGGAAAGCGTTCTACCACTGAGTGACAGCCCAGCACTAAAACTTGACTTTCAAATGTCTGTGGTAAGAAACTGAGTAGCAACCATCATCCACTGCCCTCTTACATGCCCCCCCACACACAGACACCACATTTTCTGCAGTGGGCAGAGTTGGGGCAGGAAGGGCACCAAGTTCCAGTCCATATGTTTTGGGATATTACTTGCAAAAGTGGCATGGGAAGGGTACTACTACAGTGAGAAATCTTCATTGGCTGGAAAAAAAAAAAGAAACCATCTAGATCCTAGCTGTAGTGGAAACCAGAGGAACTCTAGAGTCCCCAACCAACCCAGGAGCAATGGCTCCCAGGAGGCCCAAAGAGCAGCTCCCAGACTGTGGGAAGAGCCCATGGGATGCAGGAATGGCTGCGTGGTGGGCAGGTGGCCTTACTCTTGAACTCCTTGGCAGAACCGCCCTCAGAGCCCACCCCATCAGCCCTCCCACCGGGAGCAGACACTGGGAAATGTTGAAACCTCCTGAAATCCACAGAGGAGGGGTCCGGGCCACCCAGGGCTCCGAGACAGGAAGCTGCTCCCCACCCAGGCCCCACTGGATCAGGCAGGGGCAGGAGAATGAGGGGAGAACTGTTGGCAGGCGGGAGCCTGAGAGCAGGGGAGGGGTGGGCTGCTCAGATTGTTTGTGAGTTGTAACCAGGGAAGCCATCGGTCTTCTTAAAAGGGAAATGGCTCTCAGAGCAGTGGGCGGGTGGGGGCAGGCAGAAAGGTGCATTTGAGCAGGAGGTCACGGAAAGTCACAGTGGGCTGGCGGGGGGGTCACAGCAAAAGCAGGGCCAGTGAACCCCGGCTCCACCGAGCCCAGCTAATCTTTCTGACTCCACCCCCACCCCCTGCCTTGGCAGAGTGAGTTTTCTACGTCATCCTGATCTCCCAGTCCCATCCCTGTCTATGCCCCAGCTGTTGCCCCTTCATTCGCCCCATGCATCATGTGCCCCTCCTGAGCTCCACGTGCTGCTCTGTGCCCTGGGGATAGGAGGACAGAGTGGCTTCCCCATGCCAGAGCCACCCTCCGACCAGGACCCCTAACTTCATGCGTCCAGTCTTCCCAAGTCACCAGAGCCTCCACCTTGACCCACTCTACCATCCCAGCCCAATCCACTTCCACTACTCTGGCCTCCACTTCCATCTACTCTGCCTCTGACTCTTAAGTCCACTACCCATGCTCCTAACCCTGATTTATCCTGTGCACAAGGCTTCTTCCCTAGTCAGGGCTCCTTGCAACTTCCCAGGCAGGGAGAGGCTGCCCCAGAGGCTGGGTCCAGGGCCAGGGTGCCCCCTAGTGCCCTTGGAGTGTGCAGCAGTGTTCTGCTGTGGAAAGGGACAGAGCTCTGGCCAGGGGGCTTACTGCACCTGTGCTGTGTACAGGTTCAGCCCTCAGCTGGTTCTCTCCCTGACCCCCTCCAGCATAGTGACCCTGCCCTCTGTTTGCATAAATATCTCAGAAAATTCTGCAAAACAGCCAAAGTAGCTCTTCCACTTAGCTTTTGGACCTTGTAGCTCATTCTAAATAGTTTTGATTTGCTTTTTTTTAATGTTTAGTGAAAGTCCTTTCTTCTGCAATTCTAGCTCCTTCTGTATTGGAAAGATGGAAACCAAGTGCATATTTCTGTAATTGCTACAGCCCTTTATGCGCCTTGAGCTTGGCTCACTGCACTGTGGTCCCTCCCCTACTCCTCTCCTTTCCACCAAGCTCTAAGCAGAAGGGATGGAGGACAAAAAGAAGGGAGATGGGGACTCAGCGGCCTGGGGACTTGATGCCAGCTCCTCAGAGGAAAGCTTCAGGGAAGAGTGAGCTGAAAAGAGGGCCTTGGGTCCCAAAGAATGGGTGTTTGGATACAAGAGGCGGGAGGTGAGGGCAGGCATGGCCTAGGAGTCCAGGAGGCCAGCTCTGTGGTCATCTGAGAAGTCAGGGTGGTGTAGGAGAGGTGATCTCCAGAACCAGGGTCCTCTCCAAGGCCTGCTGGGCCAATGGAAGGACGCTGTGGCTCTCAGCCCTGGGCTACTCTTCATGAGCAGAGTTAAACTGTTCCCCTGGAGCACAGCCCAAGAGTCTGTCTTCCCCGTCTCTTACTCTGCTGCTCAGAACACTCGTCTTCTTGCCACACAAGAAAAATGTGGGAGGGGAACAAGAAAATCAAGGCGCTCAGTAGACCAGCACTCAGATCAGGACGATGGGGCCTCCCTGAAATCAGGAAATACTGTTTTGTCTCAAAGACTTGGGCCAGGGACTGGCATCTATGAGGTGTTCAATGAATCTCTTGCCTCCCTGAAAACTCTGAAATGTCACTGTTGATAATCTGAACATCCATGGAACCTGTTGTTGTTCTTGTGGTCCCTCCTGACACGGGTTCCGTGGGCCTATGACCTTCCTCCCACAGGAGGAGCTCCCTCAAGTGATAACACTTATGACTTGAAGAGGGGTCTCTGCACCTGGCTTTCCTCTTGGCAGTTGTGTGATTTCCTTTTTTAAAAAATGAACTTACTTGTTTTCCAGTACTGAGGTGCCAGGCCTTCTTGTTAAGCTCTATCATCAGCCCCTCACCTTTTTTATTTTTTTCGAGATAGTGTCTTAGTAAGTTGCCTAAGCTGGACTCGAACTTGCAGCCCTCCTGCCTCAGCTTCCCAGAGCACTGGGATTACAGGTGTGCACCACCACATCTGGTTTGTGATTCCCTTTCAAATTATGTTTGTTTTAGACTTCTTTTCTCTCTGAAAAGACCAGGCCTGTTCCAGTTGTCTTAGCACAGCAGCCCTTCCCTCCTGCAGCTTCCATACTTTACCCAGCTCCATCCCAACCTTCTAACAGCCAGCACCCAATCCTGGGTATGGGTGCCCAGCCCTACCTGTCACCAGTGGCACTGTCCCTGTGGCAGTGCTCTGTTGGCCAGAACAGGAGGTTGAGGAACTGAGCCCCTCTGGCCAGGCTCAGTTGTCACCCACAGGGCAGAACGATTCAGTCTCCTGTACACTCCCCAGCACGTGGCTCTTGGGTCATCCTTGTCGCTGATGATCTGAGTGTCACTCACCTCCCGGCCCATGGGTTCGGAAAGCTGACCAGTCAGCCCGCTGCCTAACATTCCCATCCAGACTCTTGCATTCTTCTGTGGCAGTTTCTTTTCTGTGTTATTCTTCCCAGTCTTCTCATGTTTAGTTTTTAAAAATTAAACTTTGTCAGCAGCATTTTAAGAACTCCAAACAGATCGCAGCTTCTCTCGCTCCTGGTTTCATGCTCAGAAACTCTCAGACCTCTTGTTCAGCAAGAGCCTTTGCCCTGTATGGGATCATGTCACTCATTTGTGTGACCCCTCCCTGTATTCATATTGCCTTTAAGCCACAACCCAGGTGTGACCCCTTCTAGGAAATGCTCTGGTTCTATCATTGCCTCTGCATGCATCCATCCGTGCCATGATGAGAGAGACTCACTAGTGATACTTCTTGATTGATATTTCAAGTACACAGCATGTTTCTGCCTCTCCAGCTAAATTATAAACTTCAAGAAGGAAGGTGAAATCATGCCTGGCATGTGTTTTTGATAGGTTTGCCTATATAACTAGCAATATGTATGCTAGGTAAACTGCCAGGATTCAAAAAAAAAAAATAAATTCAACAAATGGATAAATAGACTTATATTGGAAGCATTTTAAGTCTCCAAGCTCCAAACCAGAGCAGAAAGGGCTTGTGACAGTTCTGCGTAGCTTGTGTACATACAGAGGCACTGGGAAAGACGGGGGCTGCAGGGTTAGGAGTGAGGGTCGAAGGTGAGATCTGGCAGAGGAGTGGCCTGGCTGAGGGGAGGGGCCAGGACCTGCCAGGCTGCACCTGGCCCTGACCAACCCCAAGGGGTACAGAGCTCTGGGCTGCTGGCCTGGTGCCCAGCAAGGCCCCTCTCAGTGGGCCTCAAGTTTTGATCCCTACATCTTCTCTGCCCCTCCCTGTCTCCCTTAGAGCCAAAGGATGAAGTGGAGGCGTCAGATGATGGTGAGTACCAGCCACCTGTCCTCAGGTCAGGCTCTCGGGGTGAATGGGGCTAAGGAAGGGGTCAGGTGGCTCACACTGACCCTGACATGTGCCCGACAGATGAGAAGGAACCTGAAGTGGACTATCGGACAGTGGCCATCAACACTGAACAAAAAGTATCTGACTTGTACAACATCGAAGAAAGACTAGGATCGTAAGTGGAGGGAGTCTAACAGTTAAAGCTGGTCTTCTTCCTGACCTTTCCTGGGCTCAGCCTCCTTCCTGGGCTGGGGTTCTTGCAGTGATCAGAAAAGTGTCACTTGCCCTGGGCTCTGTGCAGAGAATTCTGCAAAGGAGAGCCTGGCAGCAAGGCCTTGTGGCTCCCGGATTAACTCGTCCCTCACCCTTTACTCTGCCTTCTCCCTGGGGCCAGCAGGGTGCCAGTGGGCTCAGACCCCAACAGGCTGCCCTGCCCCCCCACATACACCAGCTCTTTCCCTGGAGAGAGAAAAGAGAAAAGCAGTGGGACACAGCTTTTCTTTCGAGTGTGGTTTCTGGGAGATAAAGGAGTGGTGCAAACCCATCAGCAGCTCTCGGAAGGTACCCTGCCCTGTCAGAATGAGTTCTAGCCCAGAGAAGCCTCGGAGTCCCAGTCATGGGAAGCAGGCTCACTCTTGGGCTATTACCTGGGGACCAGTGCTGGGGTGGGGTGGAAGGCAGGGAGCCACTCAGTGAGTCTGTAGTCAGGAAGAGTGGCCTCAGTCTCCCTTCAGGGACACATGCAACAAAAGGCAGAGAAGGCCACCAGCCAGGACTGAGTGGTAATGTGCTCACTGGTCTAGCACAGGGGTGGCAAACTTTTCCTACGTAGCTGATATTTTGGGCTTTGTGACCCATTGTAGCACCAAAGCCGCCATGGACAACATGTAAACAAATAGGCATGCTGTGTTCCAGGCAGACCTTAACTATAAAAAAGGCAGGTCAGATGTGTCCCCTGGGCCATAATTTGCCACCCTAGATTTAGGAGGAAGCTTTGCTAAATTTGGCTTTTTCTCTCCTCCCCATTTCATGTGCAGTGGGAAATTTGGACAAGTTTTTCGACTTGTAGAAAAGAAAACTGGAAAAATCTGGGCAGGGAAATTCTTCAAGGCATATTCAGCAAAAGAGAAAGAGACTATCCGGGAGGAGATCAGCATCATGAACTGCCTTCACCATCCCAAGCTGGTCCAGTGTGTGGACGCCTTCGAGGAGAAGGCCAACATCGTGATGGTGCTGGAGATGTGAGTGGCACTGAGGGGCTGGGAGCCCCCCGCCCATGTTCCTCCTGCTGTCCTACCCCAGCTACTCTGCCCAAGATGGAAAGTGTTGCAAACGTGGTGTGACATGGAGATGTTCACCAGCCCTATGCTCATTTCCCTAACTAAAAGATATTAGGGGACCCCTGGGCCTTTTCCCTCTCACATCCCCTGGATGGACTGGAGCTAGCCCTGTGCTCCTTGGTATCATGCGGGGCATTCTCACCTAGAGGTGGTTTAAAGAGGAAGGGAAAAGGTAGCATCTTCCTAACTTGCCTGCATAAGAGAAGGCCTGGGGGCTTGGAATCCAGGGGCGGAACCCTTGCTCAGGTCAGGTCCTTCCTCTGTGTGTCTGTGAGTCCCTTTCCCCATCCCTTCCTGGTGTGTGTCCTTTGGGTTCTGACTGACCAGAGTAGCACAGTCTCTGCTGGGGTGTGCAAAGGCAGGGGGACAAATCAGATGACTCCAGCCAGATCCTTCCCCGAATCTATTGTTGCCTCTGATCCTACACCTCTGCCTCTATCAGGCACACAGTGTGGGCGCATGCGCACACACACCTATACACATATTCAGAGACACACTGGCATCAGTAAGCCATGTGTCTTCCATAGCAGCTGCAGTTTTTACAAGTTTCCTTTTTTTAATCTCAGTATCTTTAATATATACAATCACATAAAAAATTCTTAGAAAATACAGTGAAAAAAGTCTTATTCCTGCCCATTTCTGCCCCACCTACCCTGTTCCTAGCCCACACCACCAGAGGTAAATAGCGTTATTTGCTTTGTTCTACCAAAGTCTCTTATGAAAATACAAGTATGTAAGACACAGACTGTTCTGTTCGTGCCTTTGCACGTCCACGTTATTCAGCATACTGCTGTGATAGCCAATCCTGTATCCCCAGCTCCGTGGATCATCACAGAGGATCGGAGCCGTCTGCGTGGGTAAATGGTCAGGTGGCTTCCAGACTTCACTTTTGCAAAGCAGCACTGCTTGTGTCGTGGCATCCACGTCCTTTCACTCGTGCCTGAGTGTATCTGTGGCTTCCATCCCATAGTGAGGGGTGCGGGTTAGAGCGTGTGCATTTGAACTCCTTGGTGCTACTGGGGAGCCCCCTTCAGCATCGGAGCCCTCTTCCCCCAGAAAGACACAGCCTGCAAGCGGGGAGCAGTCTTTGCCCTCTGCTCCCTGCAGGACCATTTGGGCATGTTCCTTCCATCCAGAATAAGTTCCTGAGGACAGGCAAGAGTGGTTAGGAGCACAAGCAGATAGACCTTCACATCCCAGCTCTTCCTCTTACTTTTGTCATTGACCTTGCGTGAATTCCTCAGCTGTGTCCACCCTTACTTTTATTATTCATGAAAGGGATTAAAACTTCCTGTTAGATGCTGTGGGCATTAAGTGGAATGATGCTTGAAAGGTTCGGTGCTCTGAAACAGAAAGCTCTTAGCAGTATAATACATAGACTTTTTCTGTATCCCGGTCTTTTCCCCACTTAAAAGTATTCTGTGAGCATTTTAATTTCCAACTTAGGGTCATGGAACTAATCCTTTCCAGTATTCAGGAGGCTTGGCCTCAAGTTCTGCTACAATTGAGATGTGATTTTTTAATTCTTCAATCCTACCAGCAGAAAGAGGTATCTGTATTCAAGTAATTCATCTCGAGTCTCCCCTCTGTCTATAAAATGTGAAATCACCAGAGACTCAGAAAATCTTCATTTGTATTTACCAGCAGAAAGAGGTATCTGTATTCAAGTAATTCATCTCGAGTCTCCCCTCTGTCTATAAAATTGTATAGTTCTGTGAAATCACCAGAGACTCAGAAAATCTTCATTTGTATCTTAAGATCAAATTCAAACCTTCCCTCTTTGTCACTTTCAGGAAATATTTAGCCTATGTCTGTGGCCTCATTCTTCAACCCTCAAAATATACTTGTGGGCTGTGTAGCTTTGTAGTACAACAGGTTATTCGGTCCACAGAGAGTGGGCGTGCGAGGACATCTGGAGAAATGTCTTCTCTTCAGAAGGTGAACCTTGAGTGAGTTCGTGAGAGGGGACAGGAGGCAGCTGAGGCTGGGTGAGGCTGGGCAGTCGCACCAGTGGGCAGAATACCATACTTAGCTTGGAATCGGGAGCTGGCAAGCTGGATGGAAAAAACCAGGAGAAATGTAAGAAGGTTTCATCTGGTCTGGCTTTCATCCCTCTACCCACTCCTCCCCCATGGACAGGAGCAAGTCTTCCACACACAGATGCTAGAATGTTCCCTGGACTTGGGGCACCGAGCTTGCCCCATGATAGGAACTCACTCAGGGGAGAAGGGAGCTGGTTTATACACACCATTTGCATGTCTCTTCCAGCCTACTGAGCCAGCCTCAGGAGAGGGCAAGGTTGATAGTCCACAGTGCAATCTGCTATTCTTCTTGTCTGATGAGAAGGGTGATGTCCAGGGATAGAGCAAAATGGCATGGATATTAAAGGGTCCCAGTCTTCCTGGCTTCTGAGCTTGTGAGACCAGCCCCATCGTGTAGCATCATATGGCTCTGAGACAGGGATCTTTCCTGGCCCTCACCTGGAGCCTGTGCTTGTCATCGTGAAAGTGTCTGAGATACACTAAGGGGTTGTGGGACCCTGAGTGCTAAAAAGGACTTGAAGTCTAGGCTAAATTGTTGGTAGCTCATCTCACCCTATGCTCCTATTAGCAAAGTTTATCAAAGAATATCTAGCTGGATACTGTGACCTAAAGAGCAGAGGGCCTGGGCCTGAAGTCCCCAGATAGCATTGTTCCTTCTGCTGCCACTAGAGGGTGCTGACCAAGGCCTGGAGCACTAAGGATCCAGCCAATCCCTTAGGACAGAAGGCCTTGGTGATAGTAGGAATCCCCTTAGCATTCACCCACACACTGTCTGTTGATCAAGCACACATTTCCTCAGGCTGTCTTGGCCCATGGCATACTCCTAGGTCTGTGGGTGGTGGCTTCTGCCTATCAAACCAAAGTCCTGAGCACTTTGATACCTATAGAACCATTAATCCCACTTGTTTAGGATGATCCTTCCATCATAGGAGGTGGATCACAGGAACAGTTTGCAAAATATTAAATATATTTGAAGAGCAATGAACCTATTTGAAGCAATACTGGCCAAGTTACTTCTAGAAATGCCACAGCAAATTATTTCCATGGTTAGAATGTTATCACTTATGTCAGACATTTCCAAGGGCCTGAAAATAATGGTTACTTGCTCTCTTAGAATATTTTAAGTTTAAAAGCAAATGTTTGGGAACACCTTGTCCATGTCAAATATCACCAGATATGAATGAGGGCCAGAAGTGAGCCAGGCCTTTTGCAGATAGGCTGAAAAACAACTCTGAGTTGATGCAAAAAGTACATGCACAATGCACAGATACCCATGGAGGGAATGATCACGTCACATGAAGAAACAGGGACTGATTTCTGTGAGGATGTGAATTTCCACTGGCCATCCAGGAGTGGCCCTAGAGTAACCTCGTAGTTTCTAAATATATCTGATCCTAAGAGTGATGTGGGGTACTTCTTAAAAATAGGGATCCTCACAACCCTCCCAAGACTCTCCAAAGCAAAATCTCCAGGAGGCTTAGCCTCAAGTTTCTCCAGGGGGAGAAGCTTAAAATCTTTATTTTCAATAAGAGCCCCAAGTGATTCCTTAACGTAAAAACTTTTTAAAATTGATAATTAGCATGCATTTCCTTTATGCTTTGTAAGCAGTCTGCATGTTAACTCATTTCTGACACCACTCGCAGCTCTGGGAGATGGTGCCATTTTTATCTGCAGCTTAAGGATGAAGGAATGAGGCACAGAGATGTTAAGAATTGGCCGAGACCTAGCAATATACTTTGTCGCTTGTCTTGGAACCCTGGTGGATAGTAATAGAAACAGAGGGAGGCTTTGGGACAAGAGTCGCCACCTGCTGGTAGTGCAGGGACCTTCTTCTCAGATTGGATCTGAAGAGTCGGTTTTAGCTCCCTCTTGTGGCCCCTGGCACACACTGACCTTTCCCCGTTCAGCCCTGCCCACAGTGTCATATTGAAGGATAGGCTGTGGTGTGTTGCACCTCATATACATCCGTGTCTGTCTGTCCTGCAGGGTCTAGTGACAAGATTCAGGATGTCAAACAATAATTAACACCTGCTGAACACTAGCTATGCACCAGCACTGGACAGGCACAATACTTCACATAAAATCCCTGCATTCCTAGCAACTCCATGAAGTAGGGACAGAGAAGGCAACTGCAACTTGAGCTCAGCAAGGTTAAATAACAGTTTGTAAAAGACAAAGACAGGTTCCAAGTCAGATCCTTCCTGTCTTCATGACTCTCCCCTCGAAGGGGGCAGTCCCAGAATGAAGCCCACCCAAGCTTGTCCCACCACTAGACCCACAGACAGGGTTTACTGATATCGGGATACCATGTAAGTTACCAAGGACATGGTTTAAATTTGGTAGGCAGTCAGCAAGAAAGGTGAGCCAGAGGCTGGGGCAGGGGACCAGAGAAGACCCAGGTCTGCTAGAAACTTAGAGAAACTAAGTGTTTTAAACTTGAGTTCCATGTGACTGAAGGACATGGCTAGGGTACGAGAATGTTCCCTTATGCACGTGTGGTCATGTATCCAGCCTCCCCTGGTCAGATGCCATGATCCCAGGGCTGCCACAAGTGCCCTTTACGCCGCCTCCTCTCCCCACAGCGTGTCGGGTGGCGAGCTGTTTGAGCGTATCATTGACGAGGACTTCGAGCTGACGGAGCGGGAGTGCATCCAGTACATGAGGCAGATCTCGGAGGGGGTGGCGTACATCCACAAGCAGGGCATCGTGCACCTGGACCTCAAGCCTGAGAACATCATGTGTGTCAACAAGACGGGCACCAGAATCAAGCTCATTGACTTCGGTCTGGCCCGGAGACTGGGTAAGGCCCATCCACCTCTTCCCCTGTCATCACCACTGTGACAAGAGCGGCTATTTATGTTTCAAACATTGTTTCTTAGAGGAAATAGTACTGGAGTCAAAGTCAGACATGCTGAAGACTGCTCAGGTTCCAACCTGGCCCCTACCACTTACTACTGTGCAGCTGTGAGCCCCAAATTCATCATCCATAAAATGGGATAGCAGTAGTGGCTACCTCCTAGGAAGGAGGACCAAGCAAACTAATACAGGCAAGGGGACAGTGCCAGTGCCACACATAGCTGACAGTGTGGAGACACTCATATGACGACGATCACGATCATGATGATGCCATTGGTGGCAAAACTCATTTCGGTGATGGTGGCTCCTCCTATCTAGTTACATAGGTATGATTCCCAAAGCACTTTCATGTTAAAAACAATATTTTAAATCTCATTGATTCTCATGGCATAGGTAGGGCAGACTTTCTGAGCCCCAGTGTTTACCCTAGGAGACCAAGGCTCACAACAGCTTTGCGTGGCAGGTCCCACCGTGAGCCAGTGGAGGTTCTGAAGACTGGAGTAAGGTCCACAGACCCAGCTCGGGGGCCACAGAGCCTCTGCTGTCTGTGCACCAAGCAGAAAGGAGGCAGTGTGGTAAAGGCTGAGGCCTCATCCCAGCCTGTTTTGGTCAGGTATCGGCCTCACATCCCACCCTCGGCCACTCTGCCTCTGCAGCTCTCTGACATCTCAGTCACTCCTCCTCCCAACCAGAGCCCTGTTAACAAGGTGCTCCAGGGCCAGTATGAGCTGGCCCTGATTTCCCGATCCCGTGCAGAGCAAGGAGAAGCTGGCCAAGCCAATGCCACCCTGCAGACCTCTCTCCCAGATGCCCAAACCTGGTTGAGAACCATGATGGAGTGAGGTCCTGATCGACCTTGAACCTGCTTGGTGATTGGCATGGTCAGGCCAGAGTCATGCCCTGAGACTGTGTAGTGCACCCGATCTGCTCTCTCCTGCTAAAGGGACAGGGCGGGCAATGGCCAGTATATGGGTTTGGCTCTAGACAGTAACCACTAATAAATGGAGGCACAGGCTGGGAAGCTGGCAGTGTCAAAACCCCGGGAACACCATGTTCAGGTTCCCCTGGTGGGAGGTGCTGTGGGAACAGCAGTGTTCACCAAGGAGCAGAGAACCAGGAAGTGGGTAGAAGGTAGTGGGAGAGAGGAGTTAAAGCAGGGCTTTTACATCATGAGAGCTTTTAGAGTTTTGCTTTAGAACATTTGCCACAGGCACTGCAGAGTTAAACAAGACCAGATGAGGATTCTAGGCCAAAGGCTTCCACTCCAGTTGCTGTGCCTGCCTTTAGGGCACACTAACAGGCAGCTCCCGTCCTTTATGGTCCCTGCAGCTCCTGAGAGGAGACCTGAAGCTAGGAGATAAATGGAAGAAGCAGTGGAGTGGAGTGGTCAGAGAGGGAAACCTGGCTCACCTGGGTCTAGTCCCCACTATGACTGGTGAACCATATGAGGAAGTCGCTTCACTTCCCCACACCTCACCTTTGTCTGGAGTAGCATGGGCACCATACCTACTTCTTAGGGTTGTGAGTATATTAAATAGGAAAAGCCTTGCAAGGCTGGCAATGGGTACATAGGATATAGTAAATGTCAGAATCAGTGACTATCAGAGGTTATTAAGCATGAGTCACAATCCCTTCCTTGGGGAACTAAGCCACAGGGAACACAGACACAGAAAGGACCCACTCGGGCAGGTCCCTTGATGGCCTCTTCCCCTCCCTGAGGTGAGTACTGTTGGCTGGCTTCACTGGTGGGTTGACACCCTTGTCAATGAGGCCAGGTGTGTCTGTGGCACTATCCATGAGGGTACCCACAAGCTGAGCCTTTGTGTCCCTTCTGGGTTGGAGCCCTCGTACAGACAAGGACAGGTGCTTACCCCAAGCTGGCCCCATGACCTGCTGTTGATGGACCCCCTCTCCATCCTGGTTTCAGAGAACGCGGGGTCTCTGAAGGTCCTCTTTGGCACCCCAGAGTTTGTGGCTCCTGAAGTGATCAACTATGAACCAATCGGCTACGCCACGGACATGTGGAGCATCGGGGTCATCTGCTATATCCTGTGAGTCCTGCAGCACTTGGGGAGGGGACCAAGAGCCCCACAGCAGGATCCCAGGCTGCCGTGATATTGGGAGAGGGTCCAGGTCATGATGGGGAGCCCAACATACAGCAGAAGGGTGACAGCTGTCATCCCTGTCCCTACCAGCCCACCTGCTCCTGGATTCCCAGTGGTCTGTACCCGCTTCAGTAGCAACATGAAGTAGCACAACATGCTGGGTCTCTGGTCCCCAGGGCTGGCAGCCTTTGGTCAGGAGGGGAAATGCAGTTGGCACCCTCATCCTCCATGAAGGAGGGAGGGAGGCCAGGCACATGTCTCTGGGAGTCTGTATTGTGTTGTGAGGACAGCACCCCATCTACATGGGGTGGGCACTAATCAAGCCTCATCTGACTCCATTGTGTGCACTGATTGATGGGCACTTTTGAGGGCCCAGCCTTCGGTGGGACCAGCAGACAAGAAAGCAATGCATATATTTATAATTGAAGAGAATTTTATGTTTCTTCCCCCCCCCTTTTTTTTTTTTTGGTACTGGGGATCGAACTTGGGTCTTTGTACTTATGAGGCAGGCGGCAGAACCACTGAGCCAAATCCCCAGCAGAAAGTCATTTAAATGAACAGTGATGGAGAAGCCAGCAGCCTTCAACACCCACCAGTCACCTAGGTGCACGTGCAGGTTTGGGCTGAGGTCTGCTGAACCTGAGGTTCCATACTTCCAAGAGATCCCTGGTCGTGCCTCCTGGCACTGCTCCAGGGACCCTCAGGGTTCACTGGTTAAGTCCTGAAGCTTCAAGATACAGGCAGCTGTTAGGCCCAGAGGCAGACTCTGAACTTGGGGGCAACACACAGCTATGGGATGGCATCCCCAAAGATGCAGATATGTAGCATCTCTTCAAAAACACTTAGATTGTCAAAACTAATGGAAAGAAAGCAGAAGGATCTCAAAGAGTAGTTTTGTAGACCTCTGGGGTCTTCAACCTCGAAAGGCTCTCAGGATTCTGCTGCCCCTTGGGTTTAGGAACCAATGTTAGGAAAGCTTTGGCAGGAGTGGGGCAACTGGTCAGTGGGGCCTTCTCAAACATGCAGGAATTTTAATCTCACTATGGTCTGTGAGGACAGCCTCCCTCCTTAGCTGAACCTGTACCATGGCTTCTCTTCCCCACGTTCTTCCTTGCCCAGGGTCATCCCTCACTGCAGTCTTCCCCAGATCCCAGAGGGCAGAGAAGAAACTGCAGGCCAGGCTTGCATTTCCTTGCTTCACCCCATACCTGTACCCTCCAGGAGGGGGCGCTGATGAGTACAGTCAGCTGCACCCAGGAAGGTCAGGATGCAGCTGCCCTGGGCCTGGCCAGTGCTCATACCAATCTCTGAGCCCTGGGAAATAACCTGACTCTGCAGAAGCTGTCCTGGTCAGCTCGCTCTGCTCAGACCCCACTGCCCTGTGTCTTGGCTCAGTCCCTGTGGGTACCTCTCCCTGAACAAACTTAAAAGTGGGTCATGACAGGGGTTTGATGGCATGGGGATCACAGTCTGGGCAGGTGACCAAGCCTCCCAGTTTTCCCAGGACTGACAGTTTCCTGGGACACCGGACTTTGACCACTAAAATGGGGACAGCCCCAGGCAAAGCAGGAGAACTGCGCTCTCAACCATGACCACAGTGACTAGACTGCATAGCAAAATTTCAGGGCAAACACACCCCTGTGCCCTACCCCCAGATCAGAGCCAGTACCCCTCCCAGTGACCATCCCCCAGAGACAGTGGTCATCCTCGTGTCTGTGGCAGCAGGTTAGTGCTGCCTATCCTCGAGCTTTGTGTAAATGAAATCACCAGAAAGAAGTGTGGCTTCTTTTGCTGGTTGTCAGGAGATGAATTCATGTGTGAATTTATGCAGCTGGAGGTGGCTCATTCTCCATGCTGCTGTGAACGTATAATCCAGTCTATTTAGCCCCTTTACATTGATGAGCTCAAGTCATTTCCAGTCTGGGGCACTACAAGCATTGCGTCCTCGTGTTCTTGTGAACACATCTATGCATTTCTGTCAGACATATGATCTAGAACTAAAATTGCTGGTCATTAAAGCACTTTGTTCTAAAAGGAAGATTATTTTAGGCAGAGAAACATGGTATTTGGGGTGCTATGCTATGCCCTTGGCAACGTTACTTTCAAAGCTAAGACCGAGAAATAGGGAGGAGCTTTGGAGATGAGGATTATGGTGTTGCATAAGGTCCCCAGCCTGAAGGTAGCTTGGCATGGACATCAGGCAGAACAAGAAGTAGTGACAGGCACCAGCTCCATCCAGGCTTGGCCCCCTGCAGACCCTGCCCCCACTGTGGGCCTCTGCCTGGGACTCTTCCTTCCTTCCAGGCTGCTACCTCAGCGCTGAAAGATCTGGGAGCTCCCTCCTGAGCCTGGCCTCTCAGCAGAGTACATGGTGCTGAAAATAAAGTTGGAGCCGACCAGATGGTTTCCCTTAGCCCTGCCATGCAGAGCTCTGGGTCCCCTGCTGAAAGCAGCTAGACGTGGCTCTCCAGCACCCTCCCAGGATCTTGTGCCCTACTTCTGCCTCACTGTGGATCCAGGCTGTCTGTCTGGCAGTCCCTGTTGGGGCCACTTCACCTGCATATAGAGAAAACTCTGATCTCCTTTCTGAGGTGAGAGGTGGCCCCACCTTCTTGAGTGGGGGCCAGTGGTAAGGCAGCTGCTGTTCAGCATGTGTCTGCTGAGCCCCTCGTTCCTGTCCCTGCTCCCTCCCAGCCTGGTTCTCACAACTGGTCCTGGAAGGAGATTCCCCTTCATGGATCTCAGAGGCCTTCCGAAGTTAGCAAGGTCCCCTTGGTTTCTGGCAGAGAAAGTACAGGAGAGCTCTGGGCCCCTCTTCCATGTAGGAGAAGCTACAACCCCGCCTCCTCTTCTGAGATTTCTTCCCCTCCACCACCTCCTCTCCCTGTTTTCTGAGCACTTGGTGTTCCCTTGCTGCCTTGGTGAGAGCTACAATCCTCCACACCCCTCCTCTCACCCTACTCTGCCATTCCTTTCCCTCTCCCCCAAAGGAAGAAGTAATTAATGTTCCATTTTTCCTGTCTTCCTGGCTGGCTTGGCAACGCATCCTTCCTGCTTTTTAGCTCATGTGTAGAGCCCCCACCATGGTCAGAGTGAGGGGCTGCTCCCTAACAGAGGGAGGAGAGGTGTGCATTGAGGAGGCAGGGGAGCTCTTGTCTTGTCCCCCGTCAGCCTGAGAAGCCCCAGCGCCTCCTGCCTCACCTCCCAGGACTGTCCGACCTCTCCAGTGCTGAGCCCAGAAGAGCTTGCTGATCACTGCCCTGCCAAGGGCCTTACCAAGCCACATCCCACTCCCAGGTTTTGTCCCACCCAGGTTCCTCCACCTGGCTTTGCAGGCACTTGGGCTGTGGTTGGCACAACTAAAGCCCGGGTGGGTGCTGCTTCCTGATCACCACACAAAACCATGCTGAGCTTTTCCTGGGGACCTGTCATACCCTCTCAGATTTCTCACTGGAGGAGCTGAAGGCTATAATGGGGGTTAAGATGAAACCCTTCCTCTGCACTCAGTAGCTCCACTGACAGACATGTGTTTCCCTTTAGCCAGCTGCTCGTGCTGCCAGGAAATACAACAGAGAAAGTGTAGCCCAAGTGGCACTTCTCTGCCTTATAGCGCTGTTCTGTCTGGAGAGAAAAGGTCTCCCATCAGGCTCCCTGATGGTGTCTCATTGCAGGAAGGTTGGGAATGAAGGAATTTGGGCTGGAGCTGGAGCTCCGTGGTCTGGGGTTTGCCAGGCCTGCTCAAGGTCTAGGTTGGATGATGCCCCCCTCAAAAAAAGAGGAAAGGAGAAATTACACGGTCCTGTGGCAATGACCTTTGTGACTACATATACTTAAGATGTCAAGTGAAGAAAAGGTAACACATCCAACAACTTGCCAAGACTGATTACAATTTTGTGAAAATCATATAAATCTGTTGGTTAAGAACTAGATAATGACTAGGAAGGGGAGAGTTGTGACTTATTGGTAATAAAATATTTGTCAATTGGTCGATTTTAAAAATAAAAGAGACAGGGCCGGGGATTTAGCTCAGCAGTTCAGTGGCCTGCCTTGCAAGCGCAAGGGCCTGAGTTCAATCCCCAGTACCAAAAAAAAAAAAAAGAGAGAGACAATAGGAAATAAGGAGATAAGGCCTTTGGCAAATGGGAAGGGGACTAAGACGGAGAGGGGAGGGAAGAGGAAAGGGGGACATAAAAAGAAATAGGATGTGCCATTTACATGTGCCAACTACCTACAGTAAATGTATTTATGATGTACTACAAACATGTACTAACAAAATTTTAGAAACACACATGATCCCTTACTGCAAGTATTTGCAATATAATCCAAATAAGAAAGTTAAAAGAAAATCCAGGAAAACCCTATCACCTAGAAACAGCCTTATTGAAAATTTGAACACTCTTTCAGCACGCTGTATGTGCAGATGTTCTGCATTTTATCTAGAGACGCATTCTTTGGTACAGAAAATGCTGGGGGAGCCAGGGCAGGCAAGGAGCCAGCCAGGATAGGAAGGACAGGTGGAGGGTGTCTTAGATGGCTGAGCTGCCACGAGGAGGGCCACAGGCCAGAGGCCAGGAGGTTCCCCCTGTCCTGGCCGTGGTGCAGAGATTAGGGCCTATCTTTGCAGGATTACAGCTCCTAATTAGGAAAGAAGCTTCGCAGAAGGGGACCTTTCAGCATTCCATAGCAGGGCTGTTTGCCTTCCTGCCATCTTTTGCAGTGCTGCAGAACTCATTGCTTCAAACAGAAAATGCAAAGACAAGAAGCAGGTGCTGACAAGCCGAGACAGGCTGGTTCCTGGTGGGGCTTGGTTAGGCCTCAGTGGACTGCTGGGAGGCCCTAGGAACCTGGTCTACCTGGTGACTGAAGGGGGAAACTGAGACCAGAAAGGAATAGAACACAATTACAGACTAGTAAATTCCCACCATTCTCTCACATGCTATGATGGACAACAACTACCTCTTTGCCTTTGTAAAACATCAATCAGTGGCTTGTGTTAAGAAAAATCATCTACAGAAAGCCTATTATTCAAAAACCCAAATATGTTGATTAGGGTGAGCTAACTCACTTTGCAAAAGCTTTCTTCTGTTTATAAAAGTGTTCACCAGAGGGTTTTTACCATCATGAGCTTTCTCCTAATATTTCAGGTAAGCTTTGTTCTACCACATACAGTGTTTGATCGAGGACTAGTGTATTTCATAAGCCAAAGGCTCTCTAATGCCAAAACAGCTCCCAGAAGCTCTTACCAGCTTATTGTCTATGAAGGAGGATTCATAAGGATTTGGGAGGAGGGACTTTTATAAAACCCTAACCTGAGAGGTTGCTGAGAGCCCTAGATGCATTGTAGGGTTCAGACAGAGTCAGGGCAGGACCCGCTACATAATTTGCAAAATCAAAAGGTCAGGCCACTTCTTGAAACAGTATCAAAAGTTCCAAGGTGGCGGCAGTGTGGGTTCATCTGAGGCGGGGCAACTGGCAGCTGTGCAGGTTGCACACTGTGGTAGGGGTTCTCTCAGTCAGCTTGTGAGGGGGGACTGATAGTACAAAGAGGAGGAACACAGAGGTTAGAGAGCGGCCGCTGAGCCCTAAATCCATACTATCTGGCTTTGAGATTCGCTCGCTCCCAAATTTGCATGGCTTGGGTTGCTGCTAAATGAGTCATTCCTGCCAGCACAGGCTCATAAGGCTGAACCACCCCTGTGCTCTTAGAGCTAAAAGGCTTGAGAGACGAAAGTGAGGGCACAGAAGGGTATGCTGTGTTCACAGTCCCAGAGAGCCCTTGTGGAGAGGGTCAGGAATTCAGGAGGAAGGGGCTCACAAAGGTTCTGTGAGGGACAGGTGCCCACCTGGGACTTGGGAAGAACAGGAGATGACCTAGTCTGGAAACAACTTCATTCTTGCCACCCAGCCTAGCAGACAGTGTCAAGAGGCTGGAGACACCCCTTAAATGCATTGACCAACCAAGAAGAGATGAGGCCACAAAAGCCCCTGGAAACCACCCTTGTTCCTTTCACAGGTGGAGGAAAGGCTGGTGCAAGCAGGCACTGCGTATGAGTTGGGGGGCAGCTTCAAACCCTCATCTTTGACCTTAGCACTCACCTGGGGCTCTACACCCTTTCTTCCCACCACCATCTCCCTTACCCCTACTCTCCCACTCTTCTCCCCCAGGGTCAGCGGGCTTTCTCCGTTCATGGGTGACAACGACAACGAGACCTTAGCCAATGTTACTTCAGCCACGTGGGACTTTGATGATGAGGCCTTTGACGAAATCTCCGAGGATGCCAAGGATTTCATCAGCAACTTGCTGAAGAAAGATATGAAGTAACTAGCTGAGATTTCAGTGCTGTCAGCTTCCCCAGACCTGGGCTGGTGTGGGAGACAGAGCTTCCCTGCCTGTGGGACTCCCTCCTCACCCCTGTCCCAAGGAATGGTTGGGAGGGGAGAAGTTCCCTAGCCCTGCTCCCGCCAGATACCATATCTCCATCTTTAGAAGTACAGAAACCCTACTTGAAAGGCGAGCCCTGAGCGAGGGCTGCAGGGAGAGGGCAGTTTGTCTGTGTGTGTAATGGTCACTCCTTTTATTTTCCATGCTGACACTCCAGCCCCTCTTTAGGCCTCGAAAGGGATGTGCCTTCTCAAAACAGCTGAGCAGATGGCACAGGCAGCTGAGGACCTGTTGAGAGTCCTCACCATACCCCAGATTATCCTGGCTTGGTGCATTTTTCACATCTAAATTATTTAGATAATCTGGCCCAGTTCCTTCTAACCCAGAACACAGGTGGAGACGGGTATGTCTGGGCACATGATGGCCAAGCTTTGAGAGAGAAAAAGTCAAGTGCACAGTGAAACCCTCTGAGGTTTGAGTCAGAGGCCAGAGGCTGAGGTGGGAAGGAAACTATAGTGGAGATCAGTGCCCTCTATCCCCATTAGCAGAATCTGGATTAAAGTGAGAAGGTAAGAGGGCTCTTCATTCTTCATGCATAGAGAGAAGTCCCCAGGGGCAGGGAACTGTGGGGCTGTCAGGTGAGACTTCCTGCCTATTAGAAGCTTCTTACACAGAAAATAGGTGGCCAGATGAAGCATGGCCTTGGTCCAGAGCTCACATTTGGCAATAGGAGCAGTTGTGGGCCTGCCAAGAAAGGCAAAGTTGAAATAGGTAGTATAGAGGAAGAAAAGGAGAGAGATACAGCTTAGCATTCACATTGACTTTACAACCTAGGTTCTGCCCATTGGTCTGGTCTATGGGCCCTCTTGAGGCTGCCACTTGATCAACCTTGGGAGAAATGCTATTTGGGACAAGATTGTGCAGCTGCTGCCATAGCATGTTGTAGAGTCTCTTAGATAGCTCTGTCTGGATCTTCTGTTACCCACCCATTTCTCAGTCCATTTTAGCCAACTCAGGGCCAAATTCCCCTGGAGGTGACATTCCATACTTCTTGGCAGTGTGGTCTTTTAGCCTTTTGCTGTCAGTCTTTGCATCAGAACTGGACACAACCCAAGAAGAATTGGGATGTTGTAGGGGGCCTAGACTCCCTTCCAAGGTGAGGGATACCCCACACCAAGATGAAAACCTTCGTCCTAGTAACTCTGGTTCAAGGATGGCTTTTGTCAACTAAGCTTTGTTCACTGAAGAGTTGGTAAATGGAATATTGTGTATACATTTTATTTACTCATTGTCCTTAAATTAACTCCATAATAGTCAGTGTCAGGTTCCTCTGTGCTCACACAATGGACTTGCCAAAGACTGGTCTTTATTGAGTATATCAGAACACTAGGTTCTCACAAACTCTTCTACCCAACACCTCTTCAACAAGAGGTCTCTACTTTCAGCACATTTAAGAACCTTTTTCTGCTATAGGCAAAACATGTAAATTACAGACAATTTGAAGACTGTAAGAAAATTTAAAGCATCCATGATCCCTTTAATCTAAAGATCACTACATTGTGCTATACTTCTTTTTAGTAATTTTTCTATGTATATTAGCATTTGGTTCTTTGGGCTTTATTAGTCCTGTTACAATTAAGATGACAACGCTGAAATATTTCTAGGGCTTTTAAGAAAAATTAAATGAATTTCAGCACAGTTCTAAGGTTGTATGTAGGGTGTAACTCTAAACTGTAACAGGAAAAACCTGATACTCAGCCACACCTGAAGAGTTCAGTAATGCTAATCGGTTTTGTCCTGACATTTCAATCTCCCTTCCTCCAGATGGGAAGGCAGAAGGATTACGACTTCATAGGCCCAGCCCCCGAGCCATCTGCAGATGAGCCTGTCCTAGATCATGGTGCCAGCCATTCTTCCTTCCCAGACTTGACAGTCTTGTAGCACTTACCCTTCCAGAACCCCAAGAACAGGTCATGAGATTCTAGTTGCTTTCCAGGTGGTTAAGCTTTCAAAACTCTGACCTATACTGGGTCTAGACAGGGTAACCCAGACCAGAGACAAAAAAGATTGGTGTACAGTGACTGTGGTGGATGGACTGGGAGCAGGGAGCCTGGGGTCTCCCCTGTATGACTGGGAACAGATGACTTCCCATTTCTGATCTGACCAGTAGTCTCTGAAGTCTTCTCCTGCTCAGAAATCTTTCAATGTCTGCCTTCATCAGAAATCGCTTGAACTGCACCCAGTGTCTTCAGCACCCATGGCTAATGAAAGATACTAAGAACATGGAGGCCAAGAAGCTATCCAAGGACCGGATGAAGAAGTACATGGCAAGAAGAAAATGGCAGGTAATGTGGGGCTAGGGTGCTGCTCATCATATCTGCTTTATTCAAGCCACTCTAATTCTCAACTTTCCATGGCTTTACTCCAAGAAAATAAAAATTTGTTGCTGAAATAGTCCAAGGCCTATTTTGGGCAGCTGATTAAGATACAGTGTTAAGCTAGGTCCTGAGTACAGTATTTTTCAAAGAGGATATCAGTTTCTCAATCACAGCTGTCTCTCCAAACACACTCAGCTTGGTCCCAGAGTTCCAGTAAGGGTCCAATAAGGGCAGCCTGGTGCACTAGTCTTCACTTCTACCAAGCCAGATGTCTCATGTGTTCAGGAGAGGGAGGAGCAACAGCATTTTGAGGTCTGTTTGGCAACCCTGGAGAATGTGACCTCTTGACAGGCAACAAGACAGTCATACGTTTACTTGTCATCAAGGAGGGAGCACCTCCTCCAAAGGGGGAGCACAGGTCCACTCTCTAGGAAAATTGGATGTTACAGGCTATTGTTTTCAGGCAAGTGACTTAATTTTGCTGTGGATTTGTGTTCTCATCTGTCAAGTGGGGATAATGCTACCAGCATCACAGCTTTGTGGATAATTATACGAGGCAGTCATCATCTTTCTTTAGCACAATGCCTGTCACAAAAGAACACTCCAAAATGCTACCAGTAGCTAATATGTACAGGGCAACCATGAGTCAGAGGCTATTCTGCATACTTGCTACATATTAAATCTTTCAATCTTAAATTTTAAAAAAGAAATTTTTCTAAAAATCTTTCAATAGTAGAAGACAGGTACAGACAAACCAAGGTAAAGAGGGGTTAGTAAAGTCACTTGGATCACAGAGCTAAAGTGGAAAAGACAGGACTCAAACCCAGAAGCTGGCTCCAAAGCACACAGTCTTAACAGCAACACACAACTGCCTTTGATACAAGATGGATAAAACTATTATCTAAAAACTATCCAATGATTATCCAAAACCATAGAGCACTTAGCACCATCATTATCTACTTCGTTGTTTTATCACCACAATTTGTTTTACAAAATTCCTGGGCTCCTGGAAAGGACATGGTTTCCATCCTCAGGGAATGTATAGCACAATGGGGAACTGAAGCAAATAGACATAAAAGGACATACAGCACACCAGGAATTATAAACTATCGGTATAGCTCTCCATAACCATATATGTGAGTGAGACAGGAGAGGGGCTGGGTGTACCCAGAGTTGATGTGGTTATGACTTCTCCGGGGGCAGGAGTTGAAAATTAAGCATGGAACATGAGCTAGAGCAAACTCATAGAGGAAGGAACAATAGCACAGGCAGAGGAAAAGACAGAGGAGGACTGGACCCACCTGTTATGCTGGGCTGTGCAAGAGCAGAGATTTTAGCTGGAGATTCAGGAGACCCAGGGGCATTGAGACTGCCAATATGGAGAAAAAGGCAGTCACTGGAACACTGGCTGTTTGCCATGTGAGGTGACTAAACCATAGTTCCTTCCATAGGACAACTGCACACAGAGGTAGAGAGAGCATAAAGAAGCACTAGTGCTTATGGGAACAGGGTTTGAGGTATTTTCATCCTGGCCAGTGGCAGCCAGAGCACCGAGGAGGAAGTCAATTCATGGTTCACACACACTCCTAACCCTGTGAACAGTGGGCTAGACCTCCTGGACCCTTCAAGTGCAAGGTGATTTGGAGCACCTATTCTGCTTACCTTCTGAGGCCTTCCTTTAGAATCAGAGTAGCAAATGCTCTTTCAAAAAAGAAGGGGGGATTTGATCCTGGGTACTGAAAAAAAAGGGGGAGGATCCACAAAAATCAAAGGCTGGTTTTATTAATGATCTTGCTTGCAGATCTCAAAGCACTAATTCTGGAAAGATGGGGCAGCTGGTGTTGGGGTGGGGCAGTCCTCAAAGCAGCGAGTCTAACTGGATCCTGCTTGAATGAGGCTGTGTGTTAAGGGGTGGCTTTATCGCCTCAGAACATCTGCAGGTGGATCAAAGCCAGGAGGATGCCTGACCCAAGGCAGGATGAAGAGAAAAGGTAAGGAGACGGGGAAAAGGCAAATGAACTACTGCAGTCTGAACAGTCAGAAAATCATAGTTGGTGCTAATATCTTAATCACTTAGTTTTTTTCTTGTTGTTTATAGTGTTACTAGCCATAGGGTTTTCTGGTAGAGGGTTGGGAAAGAAAAAGGGAAGACTTCGGAGAAGAAATCTTAGTTCCACCTTTTTTAATATATATTTTATTCTTTGGTACTGGGGATCAAACTCAGGACCTTGGGCTTGTGAGGCAGGCTAAAGCTAACTGGCTTTAGCTAACAGGCTAACAGGCTTTAGCTCACCACTAAGCTAAAGCCCAGCCCTACATCTTTTAATATAGGTGAAGGCATTTGGAAATGATTTTCCACAAAATCAGCAGTTAGGTTTCACAAAATTGGATACAGAAGTAGTCAACACCATCCTATTCCCTATGTGATATCCCAGAAGTGTAATTTCATTGGTAACAGTTCAGCAGTGTCTGACCTGCTGTGTTATGTCGCTTCTTTAGGGAAATGTTTTCCACATTTAAATTCCACTCTTAGAACCTAGCACCCTTGGAATGAGGACTTCCCTGTCCGAGGTTCTGTTTGGTGGGGCAGAGGAGGACTCACCGGGATGCAGTATGTGAGTGGGCTGAGGTAGGAAGGAGGGCAAGGTAGGCACGAGTGGCCCAACTAAGTCCAGAAGGAAACTTTTAACTGTTCTGGTGTTCTGGTTTCCATAAAAGCCCCTAGGAAAAAGGGGGCCACAACAGAACAAATCCTAACAAACAAGACTAGGCTAGATACAGATGGTTAATCATGTTACTGACCTTACAATAACATTATTCTGAAACAAGATCAATTTAAAATTCATACTGAAAGAATTTCACAAAGACATGTCGGTGAAGAGTAGCAGTGAGATAAATCATGTGGGATTAATGGGACTTCTGCGTGCAAACTGAGAGTAAAGGACTAGGAATCAGAGGCCTATGGGTAACCACCTTTATTTTCTGGGAACTACAAAGACTCCAGCATTATGGACCAAAGGACAGCAGAGGAGAAAGCATTAGACTCAATATAACACAGACTATTCCTGGCCATCACACTTGGATATTATCTGGGGAAATATCCAGGGAAATTGCAGTCTTCAGGCTGTTGGCATATAGGCAAAACCTTGATGGCTGGCTGGTAACTAGGGTGATGATGAGCTTGCCTCCAGTTTTCCAGGGACCATCTGGGTGTTAACACTGAAAGACTTTAATTCTGGAAAACCTCCAGGCCTGGGCAAAATGGGATGGCTGGCCGTTTTAGCAGGCTCTCCAAGGGCTTGAGCATCTGCACTGCATTCAAGAGGGCCCTGGCAAATGCCACTCACCAGAGACACAGGAATTTAGTCATGGTAGTTGCCCTCCCGTGAGTAAAAGCCTTTCTCAAAACAAGGGTAGAAGTTAGAAAATTTAAATTTGGCTATTTTCATTGCTGGGGCTGGGCTTCCTGCACTTGGTCATTCTGGTCAGCTGTCTTAGTAAAGCAACATCCAGTTTTCAGCTGAAAGTCATGAGACTGGAAAGCTAGGACATAGATATTTCTTCTCTACTTCTAACGACTTCCTTACCAGTGTTTTTTTCACAAATCAGTTCCCAGAGATTGGATTCTGGTGTAGATTATTTCTTAAATTTTAAGCACTTGCATTTCTCACTGTGTAAGAAATTACATGCTGAATATCTACACCTACTAGAAATTTCCCCATGTGGCATCTATTTGCTTGTTAATGTATTTGCTATCTCCTCTGAAATATTATAACTCTTTTATTTGCCTCAGTTTGATCATTTTGTTTGGCATTTTGTTACAAAATAAATCCAAGAAAAGATATCTTTTTTTCTGTACCACACTAGTGAAGACATTCTTGTTCAGTCCTAATCCAGGCATCTGGAATTAGGGAGTCCTTGGGCTCAGAGGTCCCTCCAAGCAGATCTACCAGGCCACCAGTGACAGCTGGTCCCAGAATCCTGTGTGAGGCTGCCACAAGGGCTGTCTGCAAGGGTACACTCTTCGGGCCATGGGGCTCCTGCACTTGGTCATACTGATCGGTTGTCATCTCTCACATGTCCTCCTCATCACCCCATCTGGGCTTCCTGGGTTCTGTTCAAAGTGACCTAGTTCCCCTGGATGCCTACACACACTATCAATGCTGTGGGTTAAGGGTGAATGGCCAGAGGACACAGCAGGCTGGAATGTCTGACCAAAGTGTACAGAAGCCATCTACAATAAGCAGGGCAGGGAGCAACAGAAAAGTGTGGTTGCAACAATAGGTCACTGCTTAAGCCACACATGCACTTAGGCACGCACATCAACTACTAGGCTTCCAGGTGGTCAAAACTGTGAGAATTTACTGGCATTTTTGAGTGTGTTAAGTTAGTTTGAGAGGAAATGGCTTCGCCAGCACAGCTTGAGGTCCAGAGAGTGACAGGCAGGCTTCTGCCTATGAAGAAGCTCTGTCCTTACTCTGTGAGAGGGAACAGGCAGACAGCATGTGGTGACAGCTGGTCTGTGGCTTCATAGCTTCTGGATATTGAAATAAAATGCTATGGGGCAGAAAGACTAGGATGTGTTTTAGCTTCCTTAGCCATTCCCATTGACCCTAGAAAAAGGGTAACTTTACTGAAAGATGAGAAACAGAGACACAGTGTACATATTGAAGATTCTTGACCTAAATCCTGAACTTGGTACAATTTTCACAGTACAAAAAAACTACATCTCAGGTTCTGATCCTTTTCAGCAACTCTGCCCTCCTCCCCACCCAAGTTGCCTATTCTGGTGCCAGTTTTAGAAGCCTAAGTGGACACAGGGACAAACACCGCCCTGGACTCCACTACACAGTCACGACTTGTGCTGGAGCCAGCCCTAGTATTTCTCAAAATCTCTAAGTATCTGAATCATAAGCAGAATTAAGTGGGACATTGGAGATCATCTTGCCCGACCCTCCTGTACACAGAAGGAAGCTAAAGCCTGAGAGGTTAAGTGACTTGGCCAAGGTCAGCGCAGCACTTTTTTCTTTCGAATCAGGACCCATGGGATCTGTAGTAATGATTCTCTTGACCAATTAAACTCCTGTCACTGGCATTGTTTTACAAGAAACAGCCCCGCTGGGCCCAGTCAGCAATAAGTCTTTGGAGCTGTCTCAGCCTGCAGTTGCTTTATATAAACTATCCCTTTTATGGGAGTTGAAGCACAGTATGAAAAGGGTTTTTGTCTCATGTTGACCTTGTTTAGTCACATTAAAGCACACATCAGTTCCAGGCCCCATTCCACTCTCTGAACATCTTCTGACACGCGATAGTGCTGAGCAGAGCAAGGCCGGAATCTCTCCTCTGGCACAACCTCTGCACTGCTCAACCCAAGAAGCCCTCAGTCCAGGGAGCAGCTGCTATTCTCAGGCTGGTCTCTTCTCCCCGTATCCTCAGCACTGCCCTGCTGGAATCAGGGTTGCCCCTGAGTCCGAACTGTGTCTTTTTTCCAGAAAACGGGCAATGCTGTGAGAGCCATTGGAAGACTGTCCTCTATGGCAATGATCTCAGGGCTCAGCGGCAGGAAGTCCTCAACTGGGTCACCGACCAGCCCTCTCAATGCAGAGAAACTAGAATCTGAAGGTAAGGAGTACCTGGAGAGATTCTTAGCTAGCTGGTGAGGGCTGGGAAAGTAGCTGGGTATGGTGGCACACACTTATAATCCCAGCACTCTGGGAGGCAGAGGCAGGAGGATTGCAAGTTGCAACTCAGCCTGGACAACTGAGCAACTTAGCAAGACCTTGTCTCAAAAAGATTTTAAAGGGCTGAGGATGTATCTCAGTATGAAGGCCCTGGGTTCAATCTTCAGGCCTGCCAAAGAAGAAAAGAAGGAAAAAAAGAAAGGGTTGGGGGATGGAGGGGCATTTTAAAGATTTGAGGTTTGGTTTTGTTTTTTTAATCCACCTTAAATTCAGAAATACTTTTGGGTTGTCTTGACAACTACTTAGTCTAGTAAGTTATTAATTATTTAACTGTACATTAACTATTTTCAGAGGGAAAGTTATTTGCCTAGTATAACTGACTTCAACTATTCTTTTATCTTTTGTATGAGAATTAAAGCTGGGCCAGGAGTTTAGCTCAGAGGTGCCGCTGCCTGCCTCACAAGTGCAACAACCTGAGTTTGATCCCCAGTACAAAAAA